CAGAGGAAGACTGATAGCAGAGGACAGGCTTTTTGCGACCGCCGGCCACGAACTCGAAGGTGCGGTTGTCTTCAGATCGCGGACTACTGGACTCCCGTCTGTCGTAAGCGCTGTCCACCGAATAGGTGCGGTCCCTCTTGGACGAGGAGGTCGTGTTCGTGTTGCCCATCACTCACGCCTGCAATCATTCATCAATTATTAGGCATTCAATACACTGTCACTGCAAACACAGTAATAGTAATAATAGTCTTTTAAATGCTTTTTGTTTTTCATTACAAAATCCATTAAAAGATTTTGTTTTTATTTTTCATATCAAAAATGATAAACAAATAGCAATTCAAACGACACTTACTTTGCTGTGAATGTCATCAAATGCGAGAAGACGTGACTTTTGGTGTCCGATAGTCAGAATGAATGATCCGATAGATTGCAACACGACCAGGGTCAGATTGAAATGAATTGCAAAATAGACTGTTAATAACTGATTGAATGAAAATAAAAGTACAAAACAATTGATGAGGAAATGCTTTGACACTAAAGTCTGGGGTTTTCTCAGCATATCGTCAAATTGACGATATATTTTCCATTCAATCATATGTTGCACTCAATACTCGTTCACATATGCAGTGATTGTTTGTGCGAATGGAGTCTAATGTTTGTAATATGTGAGGGGTTTGTCGTATGAAATATATGAACATTTTTGTCGTAAACAACCTAAAGGGGCACACATTGAATGCTTTTGTGCACTTATTTTGTTAACCATATAATTGGGAAATATCTCTGATATGATTCAAACAATACGTTTTGCTTTCCATTGCATTGAAAACACATTTATTTTCATTCATTTCATTGTCTTTGCATTCAATTCAGTCAACAATTAATTTAATATTTTTTTAGCATTTCATTGGACACTGAATTGAACTGAAATCACAAAATGTCAGATGAGTTGACAAACCATTTGTTGGGAACCAATGACGACGACTCGGATGAAGACAACGAAGACGTGGACTACAATCCGGACAAAGAGGTGGTCAGCGGTTAGTCATCCACTCTTCGATCGCCATTTGGTTTTGATTGCAATTAATATTATCTTCATTTCAGACAACAGTTGTTCCGATTCTGAAGAGGAAGACAATGCAGACGACGGACGCAAACGAAGCAAACATAAGGACACGACTGACGAAGAGGTGCCACAGAAAGAGGTGTTGAGTGAAGA